CTCTTTTGCTAATGTTTTACTCTCTTTATACTAGATTTGCTTGTAGATTGTTTAGAAACTAAATGTCATGTTATTAAGTGGTATGTTCTCAGTTACTTTTGTTAAATTGATGATCTGGGATTTTGCTATATTCTTGTTTGTGCTTTTATTAGTAATGAATTCTCATGGTTGGTAGAATAGATAGAAGTTGATTAGTTGAAGTATGAATTTATGGAACTGATGATGTATACAGGTTACTGGCTTATGTTGACTTTTCAAGCTTTTGTTTCATTCTTTTTGTTTTGATTTCTGATGTTTGTTATATTTTTTTTTTCATGGAGATTGAATTTTGTTTTGTGGTTGGTAAATTAGGACTGAGATTTGTAGTTATCAACTCTGTGTTCGCTGGGAGGAAGCTACTTCATTTCTATTTTTTTGAAAAAAAAGAAACACCCTGGCTGGTATTGTTTCATATTGTTTAGGGGCAAATCTTTTGTTAGATCTTTGTTTATTCCTTCATTTTGGGGATACGTTGTTGGTCCAGTCTTCATCCTTGAATACAATTACAACTTCTGCTGTAGTGTGCAGAGATTCAGAACAATTATACTACAATACAAATTTTTGGATGCTTCAGTTGCTAAAAATCAAATTTCTTCAGTACGCTCTTCGTATATTTAAGTCACCAGTCACCAAACGTTTTCTTGATTTTCCTTTTAACTGATGTTGCAAGTCTATTACTTCATCAGCTTATTATTATTCACTACAGGCACAATCCTTATGCAATACCAAAGTTTTCCCTAGGGACCTGATATCTCCAGAGAGGTTTGTGCTATTTCCCTTTTCCACAACTTCTCCGAATTTTTCCCTGATTGTTCGCTGGCATTGACCGGAAAAATTCTCTTTTCTGAAGGATGTCCATAACTGAAGCCAACAAGGAAAATAAATCTTCGGAACCCAAGAACAAAGATGGCAGTGAAGATGAAGATGAAGATGAGGATGAAGAGGCTGAAGGGGAGCCAGATGACGGTGGAGAAGAAGAAGAAGAAGAAGAGGATGAGGATGCAGGTGACGAGGACGAGGGTGACCCGGAAGATGACCCTGCGGCCAATGGCGATGCGGGAAGTGGTGACGAGGATGATGACGAGGACGATGGTGATGACGAGGATGATGGTGATGACGAGGATGATGATGAGGAAGAAGAAGAAGAGGAGGACGACGAGGATGAAGAGATCCCACAGCCTCCGACCAAGAGGAGGAAATAGATAACAAATGAATAAGCACGTTTTTATAATCATGCCATGTCCTTTTGTTTATTTTGTACTCTTTTGTTTTTGGAATTGTTTAACTGACAAGGATATGATGAATAGGGTTTGTGGAGGTTGGGGGTCGGTCTCTTGCACATAACGAGACTAGTATGCTAATGTCGTTTATTGTCTCTGATTTAGACCTTATCGATATATATGTTAGTTGCTATTTGTGTTTTGTCTTGTGGATGTTTAGATGCCATGTGTGTTCGATTTTGTATATGGGCTTGGTGATGAGATGTTCGTGTGGCTGCCTGTTACGGCTCGTGCTGGACTTGACTATTGATTTGTCTTTGAGGAAACATGATGTCATGTGCAGATACTTGACTATATTGTTGAAAATGGGAAAGTTGGGTTAACCAAATCTGGAAAATAAAAATGTGTATTTTTACTAGTGAATGGAGTTCGGGCTTGTTTTGATCCGGATCTAGTTAGGCCTTTGAGTGCAGTTTTTAGATCTAGGCTGGGTCAGTCTTCCTTCTTTTGGGATCTGTGTCGCTTGGTAGTTCTCGGTTGGTTGTAGGTGGTTGCGGAGGATTTTGTTCCTTTTCTTTCTTTTCGTTTTGTTTGTGCGTGTTGTTCAGTGTTGGTGGTTTGTTTTGTGTTTTAGTTATCGTGTTGTTGTGTTTTCACCTATTTGGGAGCTGTATTGTGGGTGCGTTGGTGTAGTTGATTCTAGGCTATGTAGGCTTCCTAGATTCAGATGTGTGACTGTTTGGATATACTAGCTGTAATTACATGGTTTTTAATTTATTTATCGTTTCGTAAAAAAATATATATATATATATATATATATATTATATTTTTACTATGAAATATTGGAAGAGCAGCATAATAAATTAATAATCATTTCAACTTTTCAATTGGCCTCATGTCATCTCATAAAAAAAATATACAACTGTATCCACTATCAAGTCAGAATTCACATGCCAAGCAATTTTCAGAATTCACATGCCAAGCAATTTTGGAAGATAAGTATGGCTGAAAATGTAAAGCATTTGCCATCAAGAAACGAGTGGTTATTCTTCCATTGTTGGCTACATATACCTAACGAGGTGACACTGATCATGATAACAATAAAATAAACACCAACCTATCACTTTTTTTTTTTTTTTTTAATTTCTATTTGAACAATTTTAACTGTTTGATTACCCATGCCACCGCAGATAGTTTGTGTCTCATGCTCACACACACATTTGAGTTGAGAAGAATAAAATCCAAGCAATAACATAAGATAGATTTTTAAATATTCCATTTCCTGTGTTTAAAGCTTAAAATAAGCAAGTGGCCTCAATCAGTTGAGTCTACTAAAATGATTTGGGTATCAATCTGTAATATCTGTAACAGGCCTTATCTAGACCAATCTCTTTGCAGAAGAATAGTTCCCTCCATTAGCTGTTATTACAACAAAAACAATTAACTAGTCATTAATAAAGACAAATTAGTTATTATTTTCTAATATCAATCTTTTGGTTTCCGAAGTTCTGCATCGCTATCAAAGATATGAACATGGAAATACAAATTGGTTGACTAACTTATATCCACTTTGTGCTGGCTGCCATTATCTTATGGCATGGCCCCCCAACAACTTCATTTTAACCACTTTTATATTTTATTTTTTCGAAAATTCAATTATACAAACCTGTTAAAGATGCTCAGCTAATTATATTTTTGAACAAATTTGGAAAATAGTTTTTCAATGATTAATTAGCAAAGGGCTGCAGCTTGCATCTATCTCTTATCCTTAAAACACATCAAATTTTTGAAGTTACTTGTCTTACCTTGTAAATCTTTATTTGTCAAAATCTCACCAAACCAAAAAAACACAGATTAAAAGAAACGGCATCTGATGGAAACTTTTAACTGATCAGTTGGCCTTCGTTCACACACACACACACACACACACACACACACACACACAAAGCAACAAATAAAAAAAATTGCTTTTATTAGAAGTCAATTTGCTTTTTTGACACAAAAACAAAAAGCATTAAAATTACACTACCTTCTATAGATTTCCCATCACAGCATTTTGTAACGACCGGTATGTGGTATGCTTTGCCTTAAAGAAAAGGACTGATGATCCTTGTGTGTGTGTGTGTGTATATATAGAGCTCACAATCATGGATTATTTAACGAGCAAAGTTCAGTCGAACACATTACTGTACGAAATGGCGTACCTTTTGAAAACTCTTGGCCTGTGCTTGTGGCTCTACTTAGCCAGCCGTGGTTTTACAGGAGCATTTTCTCAAAGCCCGGCCTTTGTTAATGGAACAGTAACTATTGATGGAGGCTCGACTATTGGAACAATAGACGATGATTTCATTTGCGCCACTATCGACTGGTGGCCTCCATCTAAATGCGATTATGGGACTTGCAGTTGGGGAAGATCTTCTCTTCTGAATCTGGTTGGCTTTTAATTTTTTGTATTCAGGTCACAAATTTGGAATCTTGAATTTTAACCTGTCTATTTTTTATGTATTATGATGAGATTATTTTTTCTTTTTCTTTTTTTTTTTTTCAATAGAATCTNAGTTAGCTACAGAGTATAGAGAGTACCATTTTTTTTTTTTTCTTGGTGCAATTTTTTATTGACAGGTTTGTGTCAATGCAGCTTTTTCTCCCTTGAAAATAAGACTTGGTGGGACTTTGCAAGACAAAGTCAGATACCAAATTAAGGGTGATCCAAAGCCATGTTTGCAGTTTGTTCGCAATAGCTCAGAGATGCTCGGATTCACGGAAGGCTGCTTGCCTGTGTATCGATGGGACGAATTGAATTATTTCTTCAAAATAACAGGGTAAAAATATTTGATCTTCAACTGTAGAGGAAAAAAAAAAGCATGTAAGGTTCAGGAAAAATAAAAATAAAAATAAAGAACAACCCACAGAATTTCAGAAATCACAAAAAGAACCCATTTAGGTAGGAGTCATTTTCTCCTTTTCTCCCTTCATGGGGGAAAAGAAAAATAAAAAACACCCCTACCAGTAATTGTAATATATAGTATTGTCTTAAAAGTAAGACCATACCAAAACTGCAAAATTTTTGTAGGGAGCTTTTTGTAAATATCTCAAACTTCAGAGGTGATTTCTGTAATTATACAGTAGTAATATGCCATGGCACATATCTTAACAAATACATTCATGGTGAACCAAAATTATACAGTACTGATCCATATTTTTTTCAAAAACTGCAGAGCCAAAATTATTTTCGGTCTAAACGCATTAACCGGCCGAAAAATTCAACGAAACGGCACTGCCACTGGTGCTTGGAATTCGAGCAACTCAGAGTATCTAATAAGGCACACGGTCGATAACGGCTACACTATCCACGGCTGGGAGCTTGGTAACTAATTCTAGATATTTTCCAACAGTCGACATGCGATTTTTTATTTACGTTTACTGTAACTATAGGTTATGGAGGTTAACATTTTTATATGTTCAGGAAATGAGCTGAGTGGCAAAGGAATAGGAGCAAGTATTGCAGCAGATCAATATGCATCTGATGTGATAAATCTTCAAAAGATAGTACAAGAGATTTATAAGGATTTTGAAACTAAACCATTAGTACTTGGACCTGGGGGATTTTTTGATGCAGTTTGGTTTGGAAAATTTGTGAAAGGTGCATCAAGCTCTCTTCAAGTGGTCACACATCACATCTACAACCTTGGTCCAGGTATTTCCTTATATATGCAAAAAATCACCCATAATTCTTGGCTAATGGCATTTTTTTAACACATTCTACAGAAATTACCCCTGATTATTTTTATTTTTTTTTAAAGGTGTGGATAGTCACCTTGTGGAGAAGATATTGGACCCATCATACCTCAATGGTGAAGCACAGACCTTCAAGAATCTGCAGAATATTGTGAAAACTGCAGGAAATTCGACTGTTGCATGGGTCGGTGAGGCTGGAGGAGCTTACAACAGTGGCCACAACAACGTCTCAAATGCATTTGTGTATAGCTTTTGGTAAAATTGCTCGTTTACTTAAATTTTTTCTTTTCCACTAATCCCGACAAGATTTTTGAGTCATAAACAAATGATCTAATCTCGAAAAATGGAAAAAAGGTACCTCGATCAGCTGGGGATGGCTTCTTCTTACGACACAAAAACGTACTGCAGACAGTCGCTCATCGGTGGAAACTATGGCTTGCTCGATACCAACACTTATGTCCCAAATCCTGATTACTACAGGTGGAATTTTGATATAACAGTAGTGGTCACATATATAATGCTAAATAAAGATGATGATGAAAACAAACTCCTTTTACGAATTTTCTGCAGTGCGCTACTTTGGCACCGACTGATGGGAAGAAACGTACTATCGACGAGCTTTAATGGGACAAACAAGATACGCGCATATGCACACTGTTCAAAAAATTCAGTGAGTAGAAATAAAATCATTTTAAACTTCACATGAAATTAGACTAACAAAAAAAATAAATTGTTTTCTGAAAAAATGCTACAGGTTGGAATCACATTGCTATTGATCAACCTGGATAACCATACAACAGTTCAAGTCGATCTTTCGATTGGAAATGTCATCCCAAACAAGACATTGACACAAGTACAAATTATTCAGCAAAGTGGGAAAACAGAATTCCGTGGAGCATACAAAAACGAGACGAGATATAGTTGGATGTGGAGAGACGAGTACCATCTAACAGCTGGAAATGGCGATTTACACAGCCGAACAATGCGGCTGAATGGGGCAATACTGTCCGTGAATTCATTCGGTCTGATACCTCAATTGGAACCTAAACGGGTGAATGCTTTGGAGCCGATCACGGTCGCTCCTTTGTCAATATTATTTGTTCAGATACCCTCCTATCAAGTTCCGGCTTGTAATTGAATGGGAAACAGAAAATGGCACCAAATTCTGTTATAAAAACGAATTTGTATATCCCCAAACACAATCAATGATGGAAGTGCTTCTGAATAAAGCAACTTATGAACTAATAGGGAAATTTTCACTAATGTATTTTTACACCCCTGATAAATATGGTACTTCCATGCTTAAATATCCAGGCAAAAAAACAAAAGTTCAAAACCCGTAATAAATAATCCTACTTGGGAGGTTTAACATCTTAAATGATACCACATTTTGAAATTGAGGTGTTTCAACTTGCTGCAAGCTGCAAGTCTTGTAAAGAAAGAGGAATAGCTGGTCTCCAGGTGGTGCCGTCTGGGCTGTCCATGAGTGCAATCCCTACAGCAGCTAATTCCTGCCGAATTGCATCAGATTTTTCATACTCTTTATTTTTTCTTGCAACATTCCTTTCTTCAATTTTCTGCATAACGTGATCTTCGGTCAACTTAGCACGTCTCAGTGCATAATCTTTCAGTTGCTGCAATGCCTGCATCACAATTCACGTCTAAATTAACTCAATCACAATTTGCAAAACAACTAATAAAAGCAAGAAATTCTAATTTTTAGACCAGCGGTAAAAGTTATGATGTAATTTCGTGTGAGCCATAGAAACAGAGATAGCTAATCTCACCTCAGAGTAGCTATCCGGCGAGAGCCCCAAAACAGTAAGAATATTTCTAATCGTTTTTCCCACTGCTGCCAGTGACTCAATTCTCATTTCTTGCTTCCTTCCCTGCACAAAGAAATACTCAGGTCTTTAAGGCCCAGAAATCAAGCTCACCTTGACAGTACAATAATATGTAAAATTATGATGCAGAATTCAAAAGGTGTTGCAATTAAATTAGGGAAAAATGGAACAAATGGTGCAAATGCATCCCAGTTACATAGATTTATAAGAAACGGCTTCTTTTTACTACAAATTGGTTCATTGTTAATCAAATACCAGTCACTTATTTCAACTTGAGCAAAAAGTATTGAGATATATCAAGTTTATATACCAAAGAAGAAGATGCAAAACATTATTAGAATTGCTTATGGATCAATTGAAACCAAAAGTACCTTCCGAGTATGTAACAGATCATTGATGATCTTCAGTGGCTCAGACATTGCAGCCAAAACTACAGGAGTATGAAGATCATCCAACATTGACGTTAACCATTCGTCATGAAATTTATTGATACAAGTTGCTACTCCAGATGAAATGGTTTTCTTCAGACCAGCTGCATCATGCTGAGTTACTATACTCTCACAATCGTGCAATGTCTGCACCCAATAAGCAGCTTGTATAAAATTAGAACCAAAGCCGTGTTTAGTACATGCAATGATAGTTTATCCAAGATAATATAGCAGAAGATGTTTTTTTCAATTGTAACACCAGAATGCAACCACAAACTGAAGAACAAAATGTTATCCAATATAGTAATCGCAACCACAAATTTCTTGATAAGCTTCAAGAGTCAGTTTTTTCGCTTTGAAATCCTATCAATTCAGGTCAGAATATCCTGATCTCCTAAGAGTGAGTTTTAAGACATAAAAGTTACACAACAATTGCAGGCATTCTTGGCTACTGCAGACAAGAAGCTTATACTGACTAAATTCAGGAAAGAAATGGCACGTGTACACAATGGAACAAGAAAATAAAATAGTCTTCAGTCGTAATGCAAACCGAACAAGAAAAGAAAAAGACTACAGTTCTAATGTGAAAAATCCTAGTTTTTATATTTTTTATTCAACTTCAGCTCATAATATAGTGGACCAACCGAAAGTTGAATACTTACCATACCTGATAGATATAGAAAAGACGGTCTGATGCACTTTCAAGCTGTAGCTCTGAGTAATTGATTGGGGACCTATAGTGCGCTCCCATAAGAAAAAGCCTCAAAGCCAGTGGATGGTAAAGTTCTATAACCTGAATATTAAACCAAGAAAAAAAAAGGCCAGGCCGCTAAGAAGCATAAACCGTCAAAAGGAAATTGACATAAGAGGTCTTAAATCATTCATCATCCTCGTACCTGTCGTATGGTGAAAAAGTTTCCAAGAGACTTTGACATTTTCTCTGAATCAATGGTCACAAATCCATTATGCACCCAATATCTAACACTACTCTCTTGACATGCTGCACAGCTTTGCGCAATCTCATTCTCATGATGGGGAAAAATCAGATCCATCCCACCACCATGTATGTCGAAAGAGAAACTTAAGTAAGCTGCACTCATTGCACTGCACTCGATATGCCAACCAGGCCTTCCGGGACCCCATGGACTTTCCCAATATGGTTCTCCCTCCTTCGCTGACTTAAAAAAATGAGCAAATATATTCCTCAGTCCCCAAAAGCCAGATTACAAATTGTTCTTTGAATTGTGCTAAGACAAAGTCTAAATAAGTGCAACCATGGATGTCGTTCTCTAAAGTCATTGAAACTTATAAAGAAAAATCATTTCACTAAAAAATGTATAAGAGTATTACTAAGCCACAAACAAGGACTCACTTTCCATAAAGCGAAGTCAGCTGGATTTTTCTTCCGCGAGTCCACAGCTACCCGTTCACCCGCCCTATTATCTTCCAATTTACGCCCGGACAATCGACCATAGTCATGGACTTTCTCCACCGAGAAGTAAACGTCGCCATCAATCGTGTATGCACAACCATTATCAAGTATCTAGCAGAGGAGCACAGAGACTACATTATGGGTCCACTTATGACTNTTGAAATAAAAGACTATGCTCGAGCTATCATGACAAGGATAGTTGACATAAATTCTAGGGAAAAAAGCTATTGTCAAAGGCCTTTTACAGCGGCGAACTTAATTATTGTAGTGGACCAACAAGAAGCAGAAAAACAGATCTATGAGACACGGAATACCTGTTTAATCATATCAATAATTTGTAACATGTGATCAGAGACACGAGGCTCCACAGAGGGAGGAAGGCAGTTCAGATATGCCATGTCACTATGAAATTCTTCACAATATCTTCTGCTTAGATGAATTGGGTCTTCACCCAACTCATTTGCTCTGGCAATAATCTACAAAATTTGAAAATGCAGACTCAGCTATCCTGTCATACATATGTAAGACGTAGTTGGTACATATGAACAAGTGACAGTATTGGTCCCTTTGGATTTTGGAACTAATATCATAACTGGTTCACAAGAAACAAACATATTTAATCATTTCTTCTTTGGAACCACACGACTTCATTTCTGTAAACGGAGTGTGTCACAGTTGAAAGTCATGATTGAAAGATAAAAAAACAAAAGAATAAAAGAAACTGATTTTTCAGAAGGACGGGGAAACTAACAGAACCAAGCCAACGTTAAGGGGGCAAAATTTCAACTCTTCAACTCACCTTGTCATCAACATCAGTGAAGTTGCGGACATAGTTCACCTCATACCCCAAGTGCTTAAGGTATCTGCCTAATTTTGAAAGGAAGTGCAGCAGTTAAATGCAATTAGGTACATTACATAAGAAGAATATGTGCACAGACCTTTACCCAAAACTTCACACCTATTCACAGGTATAACCAATCTAGGACGAGCATCAACAAATACAAAATAATCGGGCACAATTCAAATGATACCCAGAAAATGACACCGGAAAATATACCTATACAGCACGTCAAAAGCAACGTAAACGCGGGCGTGGCCGATATGGCTGAAATCGTATGCGGTGACGCCACACACGTACATTCCAACCTTCCCTTCGAACTTCGGCTTAAACAACTCCTTTTGCCTGCTCATCGTATTGTACAGCCAGAGCTCCCTCTTTATTTCTCCAGAACCATTACAGAAACCATCGCCATCGCTAGACAAAGTAGTGAGAGGCTGAGATTTGGTGCAGTAATTGATAGCGGGAAAATTGCGAAAACGGAAATTGATTCTGGGTTTTGAAGTGAAGGTTTTGTAAAGGAGTGAGAGTCGCGGATGCAATGGCCTGTAGCACTCGGAAAGAGTGGCCATTAAAATTGGGCACAAGGCTTTTCTCCCTCCGTTAGACTATAGGCAGAGCTGTGTGCAGGTTCTCTTTCGTGGCTTAAATTGTCCTGGAGGAAGACGGACGAGAAGTGTACGGTTCCTCTCTGTCCAGTAGTTTCCAATTCCGTTGGGTTCCCAGAGTTCTGGTAACGCTTTATTGATTACAAACATCATTGGCTAAGAAAATTCTCATAGTCCAATTTTAATTTTGATTATCTTAATGTGCTTACAATTGGTAGTTGTGAACTTTTTTTTTTTTTCGGTAACTTTTACTATTAAACACCAAATGAGTTACTCATAAGCTTGAGTTTCATTAAGATTCAAAAATAGAAAATTTAATACAACTTTTTATAGTTCTACTCGTAATAAATAAGACAAGAACTCGGTTCGTTTACACTTATAGTCTATCTAATAACAACATTTTTATGAAAATATACTATACAAATGTAAGTTTTCATATTTTCAACATCTATAATCTTGAGGTAATCTAGATACAAGTATTTGTCGCAATTGATAATCTTAATCTATTCACGTACGTTTTCATATTTTTCTAGATCCATAATCTTAAGGAATCTAGAAATAAACATTTGTGAAATTGGTAATCCTAAATCTACTCGCATTATGATAGCTCATTTCACAAATTCGCATAATATATAATACTTATATTTATAACATCTTTCATTTGATGCTCTCTTCAATGTCATAATTTTGAGGTAAAGTTACAAGTTACTACTCTTGCAATATCACTCGCATAATTATCTTAACCAACTTAGCTACTGCAAAGTGCGAACTACATACATTTGTACCCTAAAAAAAGTCTCAAATACAGAACTGACATATGCAAGTACATCCGCAGCCGGCCAGGTTTAAGAGAAAACCACTAAAATCAAGAAAATGAGAAGAATTTGTATTTAACTGATTCACCCTAAAGCTGGAACCTCTGTATAAAGCATGCATTTTTCCTTCAAAGTGTCGGTCTTGGATAATATTTGCTTCGTAATAATTGCCGCCAAACTCAGCAACTTAAAGAATGATCTAACTAATATCACGTCCCGTGAACAAATCCCCTTTCCTACAGTTGCTCCAATTTCGTCACACTCCACATTCAGTTTGCTGTCGGTTTCTGTATCAGCCCTCATACGAGGTCTCTATTCTTCGTAGATCAAGCCAAGGAACAAACCTTGTCTGCAAAACCCGTTATTTTATAACCAGAGTTAAAGATAGATAAAGGTCAAATTTTAGTGGGTCCCACTTGTTACCTTGCCGGGAGTAACTGCAGCACAAATTACTGTCGTCGATATAGGTTGCTTGAACACCCATCATCCATGAACCCATAGAGGTGTCATCATGAGCATAAGTCTTTAGAGATGCACTGCATTTATGTAGTTATTATACAACAATTATAGTAACAAAAATCGGAAGCACACAGCATTATCATAATTATGACTAACCTGTTAATATTTATATATTGCGCCAAATTTTTCGAGAGTATAACGATCGGACCAGCTGCATGGCGGAAGTACCTGAAAGAAAAAGTCAATGTCTTTTCATGAAAAAAGTATAAAGAAAAAAGAAATGTGAGGAAAAGTTATCGTGGTGCAACTAAAATGACTCTCAAGTCTCAACCAATCTGTTACATTACAAACAACATAAAAGAAGTGATGAAAAAGTAAAGAAAAAAGAAATGTGATTAAAAGTTATCCATGGTGCAGCTAAAATGACTCTCAAACCAATCTATTAGATTAGAACAAACAATATAAATGCGTGAATGCGAGTGTGCGCTAGGACTGCGGGTTTTTTGATACAAGCACAAGTCTATTAAAAATAACAAGCACCGCTATGGTAAGTACTAAGTACTTACGATTTCTGATCACCAAATTTCCACCATTCGGGTTCGTACCATGGCTTTCCCCTGAAAGTTTTAAGCAAAATAATTAGAACTCATAACTAGGTAATTCATATTAACAGAATCCCGTTGCAAATACACGAAAAACGAGTCTTTGCTGAGTAACATCCAAAATAATGATGTATGCAAAGACACGTGCCTCCTTTGAGAACTCATATTAACCTACATATTGTACTATACAGAATTTTAATCGTTAGCCAACTAGAATTGTCGAGTATCATATATGAAAATTAAGATTTTTTTTTTTCTCTTTAACTCCTTCACCCATGAAAAATCAAGAGAAGTCGGGGAGCATACTTTTCAACAACTACTTCCCCGGACTTCATGCAACCAATGTAAGCATTATCTTTATCATGACGGCTTTGGAGAAGTTCAACCAGACCACCTGCCAAGGGCTCAGAATAAAATATCTTCATTAGTCAAAGAAGTACTGGATAATTTAGGAGTTTAAATTTTCTAGTAGTAGCAAATCCAAATTTACCAATATTCAAATCAACATTGTCGTCGACTTTTACATAAAAGTCTGCATCCCATATCTGGACTGCGGTGCTAAAGAAATACTTTGCTTTTTTGGGCAACTCCTCTTCAGCCTCCTCATGATGATCCTAAAAGATTACAATTGTTTTATGAATGATATTAATGCGCATTTGATAACTCTAACAACTTATTACGAAAACAACACAAAATTATCCTCATTGCCATCTCGTAAGATTTCACATTAATGATTGCCATAGTACTAGGAGCGTTATGGAAAAACATTCACAATGACTATCCAATGAGAGAAAAAAGAGAATAGACACAAAAGAAAGTTGAACTAGAAGAATCTATGAGGCGCAGATAATTATGAAGCTGAACAAACATGCGTATAAACGACTCACGAGAATCAGAAAGTCATTCGTTGAGCGATTTTCCTCATCAATATTGCGGTCCAAGCTGTCACCACGATTAGCACTGCAAAGACAAAATGAGAATTCAAATTCTAGTTAATACTCGATTGAGATCTAGAGTGACACTCAAAATGATACTAGAATGTGACTAAAGTAAAATATTCTTGACTTTTTTTTAATGTAACAAACAAATGCGCATAAGAAGTGGGAGACCTCCGTCCAATCACAAATCGAACAATAATTCCTCTTTCTTCAAGTTTTGATAGCACATCAGCTGCAACCACAATCGAGTTCATCAAAATCTTCAATGGCTGCTATGTTCATAATAGTACAGAATATATCCTAGAAATCATTATATAAGGATCTCACATATAGGGAAAAATGAACTATAACAAACCTTTTGACATCCAAGTTCCCCTGATAACATTGCGCCTTAACCGACCTCCAAAGCCAGTATAAACTCCAATAACAGCAAGGAACTTCTTACCAGAAGAAGAACCACTTTGCTGTACTTGGTTCTTTAGATAACCTTGGCTCTTGGCCAATGTCAATTCCATCTCAGCTTCAACAATCCTCCTCTCTAGTTCCCTATAGCACTCATCAACATAAGAAAAAAATAACTTGTCTCATATAATATGTATTTGAAAGAAATAGAGCTATGCGAGGACGTACTTGCATCCAAGGACCATTAGTTTGTCTTCCACGGTAAGCACCCGAGGTTGCTGCCAACAAAAGTATGCACATTTAGTCGTATAAAATTTTCATTTTCCATTCCTCTACACGAGGATGTACATAAATGCTCAAGTGAAAGAAACCATAATCACATGCATATATTTGTGTGTGTGTGTGTGTGTGCATTCGTATCCCACTAGATCCTTTCCCGACGCTGTACAGATAGATTATATAATAATTATGTCATAAACCCCTATTGTTTCAATAATTCCTTTCTATCAACTCTTTCATCCTTGAAGAATGTCTATCCAATCAGTGATTCATGTTCGATAACTAGAAAATTGCAAAAGGAATTTCTACTTCAAATGTTCTGTTCGTCAGTATTCATTTTCAGTTTGTCTTTATCCGCCTTTTCGCATTATCCAAACTCAACAACAAACTTTTTCCAACCGAATGTCTCTCTATTATCAATTCAACACCCCCTAATACTGTTTACGCAAAGCATAGCCCTTTCAGGGACCAAAATCACAAAGATCCGAACCAACAACAGAAAATTAAATGGGAAAAAACAGATCTTGAGAATTCAAACCTGACCATAATTCTTCTTTAACAAACCCGCCAGCAACATTCTGTTCTCCGCATCTTGCCACAACCTTTACACAAATAACCCAAAGAGAAAAAAAACATATCACAATAACATGGAAACACTACCAACCGTAAAAGGAGATCGGCGGAAAAAGAACAGGAAAATGCAGAAAACTCACCGGCCAGCAACGTAGAGCCAAGCAAGACAAGAAAGAAACCCCATGAGAAGAGAGGATTTGGAGGAGCTCTGATAAGTCTTGGATTTCGATCGCCGCTCGGATTTCGAGGACGCCGTCATCGTCACCGGCAAGCTGCTGTCCATTTTTATCAGTGAAATTTATCGGCGATTACTTGATCAGTCAACTGGGTCGAAAATTAGGAGGAAAATATTGATAGAAAACGATAAAATCGGGAGAAAATGAACTCCTCCGACTTTTGATGTTATTTTTTGAATTGGGAGGAAGGAATGGAAAGATGAAATGATGGAAGAAAGAGATGAAAATGAAGAATGTTCGGAGATTATTTGCTCAGATGTGTTTGAAACGAAACGTCAGTTGTCAGTTTGCTTAACGGGGCAGCAACTCAGCCAAGCCCAGCCCAAATCTCAAATTTCTTTGCTCAGCCCTGAATAATTTGAGAACCCGGAATGATTATGAGGTTATTAATAGCAGAGGCCGGTTTTTTAGCCATTCTTTGAAAGGAAAAATAATATATAGCAATTGTGGGGAAAAAAATGAAAAGTAGCTACTCTAAGTGGCGAAAAGATTATTGTACCTTTATTAATGGTTTTAACCTAACAACTCTTTTCTTCTTTCTCATTTACGCCTCCTACCTCCTCTGTAAGAACGAAGTTCCTCCTACCTCGTCTGAAAAGAAAAAAAAAAAAGATTGAAATAACGAAAATCTCATCTGGTCCAAAATCATCTCCATCATCTACAAGTACATTTCTTTGGAAAGAAAGGTACATAAAACTTTCGAAATTCATATCTAACAATTTGTAAACCTAATTTTATAATTTTTTTTAAATGTGAAATAAATAATTATTTTGAAAACATTTAATTTCAAAACTATTTTTGTAGAACTATTTTTTTATTCTCCTGAAAACATTTAATTTTTTTATTGATTTTTGTAGAACTATTTTTTTTTCGTTCAACTCATATCTTTTGCTTCTGAAATTGAAGAAAATTGAGTTCTTTTTTGGGAGTTTAAGAAAATATTGTTTTTTGTTTTTATTTTATTTTTAACAAAAAAAGGGGGCTCAGCGCCGCGACAATCCTGTAAGTCCCGCGCCGCGACAAAGCTCCACGCCGTGGTGGGCTGGGGAGTTGGCCAAGAAACTTTTTGTTGCCCAAAAAACTGTTGTTTGTTTTAGAAACCTGTTTCTTGCACACGAAATTGTAATTTGCTCAAGAAATTGTATTTTGCTCTATAAACTGTTTATTTTCCTCAAAAAGCTGCTGCTTGTTCAGAATACCTGTTTCTTGAACAAAAAAACAGGTTTCTTGAATAAAGAAACAGGTATCTTGAGTTCTCAAAAACACTATTCTTCAGGTCCAAGTTATCCGTTCAAGTTGTGTTAATAATTTTTTTTTTTTTTTTTGTTTATGGACGTTGGCAAAGTGCGTATTGTTCACAGTGGCTTTTGGGATGGGAATGTGTACAAAATTGGCGAGATAGAGATGAATCTTTTGTGTCTAAGGACCTCATCTTATGAAGTTTTTTTTAATAGAGTTCACGACATTGTTCGTGCGGACAAAAACATGTGTGACTACAGATTTCACTTTTTAGTGGCCGGTGATATCGGAGATGTGGAGAAATGGCAAATCTCATGTGAATCAGATATCCGAAATGTGTCTTACTTGTTCCCAATACCTACCATATATGTGAATCACCATGTTTACCACGTGAAAGACGGGGTCAAGAATTTTGTCGTCAATTTGAATGATCGGACTTGCACTTGTTTTCTCTTTCAGGTTGATTTAATGCCTTGTGCACATGCTATAAAGGCTATCGGGTAATTATTTTATTTAATTTAATAAAAGCTTTAATTTTTTGACATTTGTTGTTTATTGTACCCTATAATAAAATGTTATATGTATGTACCATTTTTAGGAAGGTAAATGAATTGGTATATGGATATGTGCACGATTACTATAAGACGACAACGTTGCGCAAACTTTACGAGCCGATGATCATGCCAGTTGCACATCCAACCCACATGGGACTTAACTACAACACCTAGTTTAATGGTTGTCAAATCCCCTATTAATCCCAAGCAAGCCGGAAGGCCGAGGTCGAACCGCATACCTTCTACTGGCCCTTCTTCCAACTCTCGAAGTTCAGCATTTTGTTCACGATGCCGCGAAAAGGACCATTACTCTACAACTTGTGTTGAATTTGTCCAAAATGTTGAACAATCTAATCAATCTAGGCGACCCGGTATTGTAATTCGTTTGTATGGTAAATGTAGGCAACCCGGCCATCGTAGGAACAAATGTCCTCAAAACATTGACTAGTTCATTTTCTGGTTGTATTAACTATTGTGGCCATATTGTAACAGCTTGATTTTGTGTTTGTGTAATTTGTATTAATTTCATGAATCTTATTTTTGTTGTTTTGTGAAAAAAAAAATTGAAAAATTCCAACTGATTGGTCGGAAAAAGTGTGTACGTTATATATTTATTAGCGTATTTTTATATGCTTAATTTTAACGCACTTATATATTTTTCGACCCATTTATTTATTAGATGGATTCAAGTGCTATGATATTTTTATGTCTTATTTTCAGGATATTGGAGCATTTTTACGGGCGATGTATCAATAAACGAAATTCCAGCCTGCAGAATACGGGAGTACCCCATACTCAGCCCCATGCTCGGGCCCGCACCAGCCCAACTTAAGCCCAAACGTGAAAGAAGATCAAAGGCCCATTAATTGGATGATTTTGGACTGCTTAGTGGAAATTGGACCAAGAAGTTGGTTTATTAAAAGAATCCAAGACATACACGCAGCCATATGCCAATTGAAGGATATCCATTATTTATTTAATAAAATAAAGGGAGCAGCCCTTGATCACAGGCCATCATATAAAACAGAGAACAAAAGGGAGCCGCCCACATTATTCACACAACAGCAGAAAAGAAAACAGAGACGCGTGAACAAAGAACGAGAGGAATACGCGAGTAACCCGATCAAACGCGGAGGGAAGTCGCACCCGTACACGAGGGAGATAATTAATCTCTCTCTTTTATTTATTTATCTTTTTTATTTAGTATGTTAGATTAGATTTTCTTTCTAGTTCCGGGGAAGTTGAACCCTACGACTTGACGATGTTTGATTAATTTATATGGTTGATGATTTTAATATCTTTTTGGAATTGCTTGTGTTATTTTGAATAATTCACCATGATGTGTTAGTCTTGTTTAGATTGATCACCTAGATTATGCTTTTCATATCTACATCTGAATTAGACCTGCAATCCGTAATTGTTGTTGTGTTTAATTCATAAGAGGTAACCGGAAGATGGTAACTACCGAGGATAACACGGCCTATTTAAGTGAGCGAACGCGGTTGAGTTCACTACTTAGTCTAGCCNCTAATATTTTAGTTTAATATATATAATATATATTATATTCCCTCGTGAACTTTTTTTATTTAAAGATCTGGTAGGGTATCAGTGTTTAGAATCCTTATCTTAGATATAAATCACTAATTTAGATCTAGGCCGAATAATAATAGAATAAAAAGGCTAAATATATTAATACTAAAATTGAGAGTTGTATTACGTACTATCAAATATGTAGTACATCCAAAAAGTGTATATTTCAAGTACTGAATTTAAGGCTTAAAAATATCAAATCATCTTGATGGAATATTGCACGATATAAGTTGAACTCACTAATTTAGAATTTTAATCCTTCTAATTAAGTACGTCGGTCACTGAATTCAAACAAGTCTTCTAACTTAGGAAAAAAATCATATTACATGATTGACTCTTTATTTGACGATTGTTCTCATTTCTGATTCTTTCTCTATCAGTCTCGGGTTATATTCCATTCCGAATCATGATATTTTAATGATTCTTATATTTTTTTTATTAATTGACTCATTTCTATTCCAAGACTCATATTTTGAATAATCTGCCATTAAATGGATTCTTTTATTCATCATCAACAAAGCTGTATATAAATATCAGTCTTTTCTATTCGTGTGCTCCATCCATGTAAAGGCAATCTCAAAAGCATTATTATAATATATATACAAGAATCACAGGCAGCCATGATTTTTGTCAGGTTTTCAACATTTCTTGCACTATTGATCCTTCTTGTTGCGTTCCAGGAACAAGCTTTGGCCTTTAAAAAGGTGCATACATATTGTCCTCGTGACACAATTTTTTTTTTTTTATATAAAAAATTAATTTGTTAATTCTGTTATATATGTATTCTTTGATCAGTCATATATTGTCTACTTGGGGGCACATAATCATGGTCCAGATGTGACTACTGTTGATTACCAGCATGTGGAAGATTCACACACGGAGTTGCTCACTTCATTCTTGGGAAGGTATTGCAATATGTTTTTTNATTCATTAAAAAATTATCGCAAATTACATATTGTTATAATAGTTGAATGTGCTTCGTTTGATTTGTCTCCAATTCGTATCATGCAGTGAGCAAAAGGCTAGAGATTCCATGTTCTACTCATACAAGAGGAATATAAATGGGTTTGCCGCACTTCTTGAGGAAGAAGAGGCTGCTGAGATTGCTAGTATGTACAAGCAAATTAATTAATATTCATATAATCTATTAAATCATGTTTGAATTTATGTTTATATTTTTATTTCGTAATGATTTTAATCAACTTTCGTTACATAAATGTAGAGCATCCAAATGTGGTATCAGTACTAGAGAACAAAGGTAGAAAATTGCACACAACTCATTCATGGGATTTTCTTCGACTGGAAAAGGATGGCTTTGTTAGTCCGTCTTCCATTTGGGAGAAAGCTCGATATGGTGAAGATACCATTATTGCAACACTTGACACTGGTAAAATTAAAATCAAACAAAATTAAAATTCAATATTTTTTTCAGTATTGTTGTTATGTTTCATGGTTTATTATGATCGTAATTTTTTATTTTTTATTTTTAACTTGGCTTATTAAATAACTAACAATTAGGTATTTGGCCTGAATCCAAGAGCTTTAGCGATGATGGTATTGGTCCCATTCCTTCCAAGTGGAAAGGAATCTGTCAGTTCGAAGGCAATAAGAAACACCTTTGCAATAGGTATTTAACATCGATTTGTAATGTGTTACATAAATTACGTGATTGTCATGATTTATGAAAACTTAATTATATCTATCTGTTGTTTTATGAAATTTCTTGTTTTATGTTTCATGTTATATATATATCCAAATACTGCAAAACTATGAATATTCCCAAATGATTAATGACTAGAAAGTAACGCACTAACAAGAACAAGAGCAATTGGTTTGTCTCACAGTTCACCCCAAAAGGCATAACATTTAGGCTCCCTTCAAAAGAAAATGTTTGGTCAATATATTTTATATAGCAAAACTATCAAAAAGTGTTTCCTCTTTAGTAGAATCTTGAATCGTGTTCGATTTCTGAGTGTTCTCTTTACCTCATCAGCCACATATGTTGTGTTTGCCTATCTACATTCTTCCAATACCAGTCACATGTCTTGACCCTTTTCCAAACTGAAAATAGATTTTACAAAAAAAGTATTATTATTATAATTTTTATTCATTTGATGAAGTGTATCAATGTACCTTGTTAACCAAGAAACCCTCTCCTAATGTATTTTTTTACTCTTGTACCTATAAATTTCTTTACAAATTTAATTAAAACTCTTTCCTAACAAGTCTACTCGCTCATCAAGTACAAACTACACTTGCCAAAATTTATATTTGATAAATCCAGAAAAACACTCTTTGAATTAACAAATTATTAATATATTAATTAATTAATTAATATCTCTTTAAGTTAATAAAATTTTATGGTCCCAACATTATTAATTTATAGAGATTTTACTGTATTGTGCAGAAAACTGATTGGCGCCAGGTACTACAACAAGGCTTACCAAGCCTTCATAGGCAAGCCTCTCAACTCGTCGTTCCACAACGCACGCGACTCGGAGGGCCACGGGACCCACACCCTCTCGACCGCCACTGGGAGCTTCGTCCCATCGGCCAGTGTTTTTGGCATCGGGAATGGGACCTCCAAGGGCGGGTCCCCTCAGGCCCGCGCTGCCTCGTACAAGGTGTGCTGGCCCCCCGTCAACGACAGCCAATGCTTCGACGCTGACATCATGAAGGCTTTCGACGTGGCTATCGACGATGGGGTCGACGTGCTGTCGGTCTCTCTCGGAGGCTCCGCTGATGACTATTTCAATGACGGCATCGCCATTGCTTCCTTCCACGCCGTGCGGAGAGGAGTCTCTGTGGTGGCATCTGCCGGGAACAGCGGGCCCTACCCCGGGACTGTGTCGAACGTGGCCCCGTGGATCATAACTGTCGGTGCAAGCACGCTCGACAGAGAGTTTAATGCCGACCTAAAATTGAGGAATGGCCGAGTGCTAAAGGTAATTCGAAGTTCCATGTTGAACAACGTAACCTAGGCTATGTTTGGTAAAACTAGCTGATAAGCTGGCTTATAGCTTATAGCTGAAAAGTTAGCTAACTTATAGCTTATAGCTGAAAAGTTAGCTTATATGATAAAAATGTTTGATAAAATTAGCTGATAAGTACCTAAAGTAGCTTATGAGATAAGTTCGAGCTTTTTAAAAAAGTTCGTCCTACCAAACGAGGCTTAATGAAAATATGAAATACAAGAAGCTTTTAAGCTAATCAAATAAGCTATAAGCTAGCTTATTTGACTAACAAACATAGCTCTAGTGTTATCATTTGATGATGTGTTGCACCTGCAATACTAATAGGGTACAAGCCTTTCGAGACCATTGCCGGAGAACAAATTCTACCCTCTTATTAGAGCCGCCCATGCTAAAGCTGCCAATGCAACCGAAGCGGAAGCGTAAGGATATACTTTTTTCCCTCGATTTTTCTTTGAATTGACATGCATGTACGCTGAAATTATTTGTTATTTCGAAACCGGTATGTATCAGTCTACTCTGCAAACCGGATACGTTGGACACGAAAAAGGCAAGGGGTAAAATAGTCATTTGCCTAAGAGGAGAAAACGCACGAGTTGAGAAGGGTGTGGTGGCGGCACGTGCGGGCGCTGTTGGGATGATTCTCTGCAATGACGAGTCTAACGGAGACGAAATCATGTCCGACCCACATTTTCTACCGGCCACACACATCGGTTATGAGGATGGCCATACTCTCTTTGCCTATATTAATAATACCAAGTATGTGATTCATGAGTAGCCAGCCATCATCAGTTTTTCTTTCATATACTTTTCTTATATCTAAAATCGACAAAATTTGTGCTTTCAGGTATCCACAAGGTCTTATTAATGCTCCAAAGGCGCAGCTCAATACGAAACCGGCACCTTTTATGGCCGCCTTCTCGTCCAGGGGACCCAATACCATCACCCCGGAAATCCTCAAGGTTTTTTTTATCATTTTTTTTTTTTTCAAAAAATAATTCACAAATATTCTGCCCTAATTTTTTTGCTTCTATCCTCCAGCCTGATATTACGGCTCCAGGTGTTGACATAATAGCTTCTTATACCGAGGCAACAAGCCCGACGGAGTTGGAATTTGACCACCGGAGAACACCTTTCACGGTGATGTCCGGGACCTCCATGTCTTGTCCCCATGTTTCGGGTGTTGTGGGCCTGCTCAAGACATTGTATCCCGATTGGAGCCCGGCCGCAATTAGATCTGCCATCATGACAACTGGTAAAGAACAAATCTCTGCATTTTCTGTTAGTTTTTTTTTGTACCTTTTTGATTGAATTGATGATTGTGATGAACAGCAAGGACTCGTGACAACACCGGTAAGCCATTGTCGGATTCGAGCCACGAAAAGGCCACGCCGTTTGCATACGGGTCGGGCCACATCAGGCCAAACCGGGCCCAGGACCCTGGCCTGGTCTACGACCTGACGGTCAACGACTACCTTGACTTTCTCTGTGGGCTCGGGTACGACCAGGCCCATCTGGCCCAATTCACATCCTTCCACTATGACTGCCCGGCCGACTACAGCGTGCTTGACTTCAACAACCCGTCAATCACGGTCCCAAAGGTGAATGGATCTGTCACGGTTGCCCGGAAGGTGAAGAACGTGGGCCGGCCCGGGAAGTACACCGCGCGAATCCGCCAGCCGCCGGGTTTTAGGGTCTCGGTGGAGCCGAACGAGCTGGAATTTAAGAAAATTGGGGAGGAGAAGGTGTTTAGGGTTACTATAAAGGCCAAGGAAGGTGTGAAGAGAGGGTATAGCTTTGGGGAGCTTTTGTGGTCCGATGGGATGCATTATGTGAGGAGTCCAATAGTGGCCAATCACAACTCTAGCAATTAAATTACTCAATAGTGTAATTAATTAATGTGATATTTGTGTGGGGTTAAGTGAATAAAATGAAAGGCCCTGCAGTATTGCTAATTTGCTATAGCTGAGATTGTCAGATATTCCTTTTTATGTCAATTCTAAAGTTGTGTGGACATTGAAATTCAGTACAGTTTGAATTTTTTTTTTTTCTTTTTTTTTTTTCTTTTTTTCAATCAAGTTCTCCAGTATGTCATACGAAATGCGTATCTGAACCATTGACTAATAAGATAGTTTTCACGGATTGTTCAAAATTTGGTTAACAATATAGTTAGATTATGTGAATTATGTAGGTGAAATAGAATGAATGTAGGCATCTGGTCTTGATTTCTAAAAATATGGCAATGATTTCTTTAAATGCTTCGGGTATTTGTTCAATAATGAGAAACTAGTGTAAATGGCTCGTGCGATGCACGTGGAAACAATATTACGATTGTATTATAAATTAAATATATAAATGGCATTAATCATGATTTACCCATTGTTTTTAAATTAAACTGGGCTGGACAGTCCGACCAGATGGACCGAGAACCGGTTTATAACCAGTCTAGTTCGTTTGAATAAAATGTTTGCTATCAAACCCGTAAACACCCGCCGGTCAGACTGGTAGGATAAATACGATCTTCTAAATAAATTCTATTACATTTAAAATTTTAAATAAAAACACATATTTAAATAAAATAGAGATTTATAAATTGTTTATTAATTGGATTAAACATTTGAATTTTTAAATTGTTTAGATATTTAAGTAATACCTTTTATTTAAATTTATTACAAAAAGTCTATATATACGTATATATATATATATATATTAAAATATTTATAAATTAAAACCTGAACAAACCATAAAAATCATTGAATAAAAGAACTTGATCGGGTCAATGACGGTCCATTTATGAGAACCTTATATTTGTCATACATTAATAAAATTATAATAAAATATTATTTAATTCACATAAATATTAATAAAATGGTATATAAATATTCATATATAATTAAACATGTTGTCATAAAAGTATTATTAATCTTATTATTTAGAGTTTGGACTACATCACATTCATGTAATAAAGTATTTTCAATATTAAAAGTTATATTTAGGTTCAACAACCAATTTTGTCTGGTCAAACTGATACATAACTTAGTCACCTGGAATCATCCAAGTTGTGTGTTTTTGACTATTTTAAATATCACATAAAATTAATTCAATCAATCTGGGTAGTAACCTAATTCAATCACACGATTGATCCAAAGAAATTTTGTGGTTTTCTTTAAATATAATTAATTTTATGATATAAATTTTTTTTATGATTTATATAGTAAATGTCTACAACAAATGATAATATATTAAGATTATAAACTATATATTTAAAGAGTAATTAATTATTTTTTACATGTAAGTTCCCTTAACCTCATAAAGCAGGTTATGTTGTGTGTCAACCAGATTTCGTTTATTAGAAATCTAGTCGACACACAATTGCAAGATTTACATCTGCTTTAGAAAAATTCCTAATAAACGAAATTTCTGTTTGAAAAAATTTGATCTTTAGAAAAAACGTTTTAGATGTATATAGATGTTTTCTATATTTATGTTATATGATTCTTAGGGGGAAAAAAGATGTAAATTAAGAATTTATTTTAATAAACGAAATTTTCATAAATAACATACTACTTGTTAAAAAACAAAAGAAATAAAATTAATAACTAAAGTTCAATAAAATAATACTTACCTAAAATATTTGCATCATTTGAAAAAATGAAATTATGTATGGCAATTGATACCAAAATATAAAGAGCATCATTCCATATTATATCAATGTTTTGAGGGGACAATAATATAATTTCAATTGTATCCAGGTCCAGTGTATCGAAGTCAAATATTTTGAGAATAATTAGATTGGTACCATGGGACATGAGCTAATTTTTGAATTTGGAAAAATATCCAAAGATTGATACGAAAATTGAAAACCAAAAAAATAGGAAAAGATTTCAATTCGAAATTATGTGATATTTATCATATTGGTAAGAAAAAGATGATCTTCCACAATTGTAGGGTAGAAAATCCGAACTATATTGTGATATTAAGAAAATTGACAAAATTGCATTTATTGGTAGGAGAGAACTTAAAACAAGAATTGCCATAAATGGCATGTAGTAAATGCTAATGGAAGTTTGACTAAGATTTGACTTACTATTTTTGAAAAATGGTAATTCTTATTATATATATATATAGATAATCTTAAAAATATTGCTTCCAAAAAATTTGGTCAATCATTTCCTTAAATTTTTTTCGGTCAAATGACTCAAATGTGTAAATTCGATTACAAAAATCCGATCAATCATTTAACGAATAAAATATTTGAATTTTTTTAAAATCTTTTTGAAAAGTGATGGCAACTTAATTGTTAAATATTTTTTTCTTCATATTTATCTATCTGCAAATCTCACATTTTATGGTCATAATTAAAAATTCGTATTTATTTAATAAAGAATATTAATTTCATAAATTATTTTTATATTTCGGATTGTTCAACTTAATTGATATTTTTTTTTCTATATTTATCTAACTAAAAATCTTTTAAGGTTTAGAAAGAATCTCATATTATTTGGATTTTTGGTAGCTATTTTTTCATACACATCCAATGAACAATTAGTTAGAATAAATATTAGAAAAGGAAACAAATCATACTCCCTCTATTTGACAATGTGTCATTTATTTTTATTTTATTTTTTAAAAAAAAAGCAAAATTACAAATTTATAGGGAATTGTTATTTTATCCTTATATAAGATTTTCCTAAATGTTTTATATCTGATTTTAATATATATATTTTTGGCATAATGGCAGGAAAATACACGACCTTTACTTGATTGGCCATTTAATCACGACTTTCAAACCTTGGCAAATAAATGCACGACCTTTACATTATTGGCAACTTGATAAACGGATCTAACGTCCGTCAACGGAAAGCTGACGTGGGTCTGACTCAGCAAACATAAGTCAAATCATCAGTTTAAACCTTGACAGTTTAATACACCACCTTTGGTTTTTTGGCAACCCGATACACGAACTTACCCTTTTTTGGCAAAAAGCTGCCACATCATCATTTTATTTTATTTTTAATTTAAATTAATTTAATTTACTTTTATTATTTTTATTTATTTTAATTGTACTTTTACTATTGAAATTATGTTTATAATTTAAATATACAGTGATTACAAACAAAAAACAAATAAAAATATATTATTTTATTTAATTTTCAATTTATATATTTTATTTTATTCTAGTTTAATATTTTGTAATATTTAATATATTCAGTATTTAATTAATAAATTAATATTAATATAGTAAATAATGAATAATAAATAATAGAACATATATATAGAATTCAATAAAACATATAATTAAAATATAATATATTTATTCATTTAGAGAAATAATTTTACATTATTTATATTATATGTAATTAATATATTTATTTATTTAGTTTATTCGTATATTTTTTATTTAAGTATGTTAAATAATAATAAAAGTAAATTTCAGAAAATTAAATAAATAAATAATAATATTATATTTATATTATAAATATTTATATTATAAATATTTATTTAATGCTTAAATAAAATTTATTTGAAACTAAATAAGATAAAATAGTATTAAAAAACCACACAAATGATAATAAAAGAAGGTCCAAAAAAAATTTGTCATCGAGGAAGAAAAGAAAACCTAACCCCAAATCCATCGAGTCTCGTCCTTCATCAATTTGCGGTGCCTTTCCCGGCGACGGCGAGCTAGGGCCAGCGGTCGCCTTTGACCGCTCGGCCACCCCCTGTTCTGTTCGCGTCCGCCTCCGTCGTTGCTGAGGCTGTTGGAAGCTTGGAGTTTCAAACCTTGGTTGCCGTCGGGTCTAGTGGTGGAGAGCCTCAATCAGCCGATGGATCTTCGTTGGGTCGGCAATTGTAGTCTTCTCTGCCANTGTATTAAACTGTCAAGGTTTAACTGATGATTTGGCTTCTGTTTGCTGAGTCAGACCCACGTCAGCTTTCCGTTGACGGACGTTAAATCCATGTATCAAGTTTCCAAGAATGTAAAGGTCATGTATTTATTTGTCAAGGTTTGAAAGTCGTGATTAAATGGCCAATCAAGTAAAGGTCGTGTATTTTTCCGCCATTATGCCTATATTTTTTTATATATATACTCTTTCTTTCTCTCCTTGAGTGGAAGTCATCAACATTGATATGCCACTTTTCTGTTTTCTTTTGCGTCATTTTTTTTTTTNTTTCAATGGGAAACCAATTATTTGATTTTTTTAGGATTTATGATAAGGATAAAACAAGAAAATGCATAAATACATTCTAAAGAGACATTTAAAAACCCACAAAATTAGAAACTCAAACGGCATTTGTTCTTAAACGGATGAAGTAAGAAAAGAGTAAATATCATACAAATTAATATTGGAAAAGAAAATGATTCGATAAGACGAAATCACACAATATATTTACAAACTGATGAGATTTAAATTTGAATATAAAATCTATGTCGCACAACAAAATTGGTGATATTTAATTTTAAATATAAAATCAATATATGATTTATTTGAATATAAAATCCGATCATACAACAAAATTAATGAATAGTTTTATATATACCAATTTTATTTTATTTATTTTTTTTAGTTGAATATGTACCAATTTATCTTATCTTATTTATACTTTTTTTCAAAGACAAGATGAATATAAAAAGTCCCATTAATATATCATATAAATTGTAACTTTAAAAATGTTAAAGAGAAGAATTTTGACTACATATGAATTATTAAAAGATCAATTTTCATTAATTTAATAGAATAAATTTGATTAATAAGATTTAAATTCGCTAAGTTAAAAAGATAACAGAGTCCAACATTACCTATTCATATAAATTTAATAATTTTAAAATATCGAACATCATAAATCAATGTGGGATAATATTTAATAATTTTTTAGATATGGTTTTTAATAACAGTTTAGAAAAAATTAAGTGATTTCACATATTTTTTTAGAAATAATAAAGAACATTTTAGATATTTTACGCAGGTTATGTATTAATTTACATATTCTTACACATGTTATATAACATTTTAGGTGGTGTTAATATTTTATATAGACATGTTTTACAATGTTTTTCAAAAGTTAATTTTCATAAGACATTCTCAAAAAATTAACATATTGTATTACATATTGACCCCATATTTTTAATTTATAAATATTATTTATCAGTACATTAGAATATCGGCTTCTTCGTACACTTATATACTTATATACAGATTGATTCATTTTCATAATTTATCTAACAATCATTTAATTTATGAGGACGACGAATTCAAGTTCCTCCGACGTCGATCCATGGCATCACTTCACAATTCCACCCACCACGGCGTGCACCCGTCGGAAAAGCGTGTCCAGGCTCCTCCGAAATAACTTGGTTGAGGATCTGGACTATTTTTGGATCACCGACCGCTGCTTGAAGAGGATGTTTGGGTCGAGGATTTGGTGGAAAACGACTCGCAGTCAATTGAATTGCCTTGGATGGAAGAAGATGGAGACGATGGGGAGATCAGTGGAGTTACCTTTCATTCATAGGCTATTTTTTTTTTTAATCGATAACTTCGATGAAAAACTGAAACCGAAACATAGTGATTGTTGAAAATTGTTGTTTTTCTTTTGGTTTTCGGTTTTTTATCGGTACAAAACCGAAACCGAACCGTGTTTCGATAACCGAAGATCAGTTACCGATTTTTAATCGGTTCGATTTCAGTTTCGCATTTTAGTGTCACCAAATATATCGGTTCGGTATCGGTTTTTTCTTATTGGTTCGGTTACTGAACCAATACCATCCCTACTCAACCTAGTTAATTTTTTTAATAATTTCATCTAATTTACCATCCAAACCTACATAAGCACCCATCCATATTTTCAACTCCAGTTAGTCTCACATACAAACCCAAAACTTCAAATAATAATNGACTTAGGCACAATTAGCCACAGCCCCCAAGTACTCTTACCACATTACTGTACTCGACTCTCATTCACCGAAAGGCGAGACCAAACACAGCCCCAAACTGATTTACGAAGCGCTTTCTTTTATCCAAAGCTCCATATTTTAGGTAGAGCTATAAGCCAAGAGATTTCGAGAACCTATCCGAAAGATTTGCAATTACGAACCCTACGAATACCTGCAACGCAGTTTCATACAGACAGTTATAAAGTGCCAAATAATCATAATCTCACAAATCTAGTCCAATTCTAGTCTCACACTTGCAAATTTAGTCTCATTCTCAATCTATCTTCCTTTTCATTTCTTTTCTTCTTACCTGAACCGAGCCAAGAATATAAATGGCCGAGTAATGTCGACCATGGATCAACATATCGGCCACCATGGCAAGTGGAATGGTTAGGGACATGCCTAAGGTGGCCACCAGTGGTGTTGTCCAGACCACACATAATGCCCTACCAAACATAACAAATACTAAGATTAAACTGCCTTTCATTTTCTTGACAGAAAAAAAAAAAAAAAACACCATTTGCGTACCAAAAATAGTCGGAGAGAACACTTCCAACAAGCCCGTTGGCAATAACAACTTCATCCATCTTAGCTGAATGAGGAATTGTGAATTTCGGTTCTATACCCAAAGCCGTCAATGGCCATACTGAAAAATTTAAATTGAAATATTGAAATTAAGTTAGGAAGAATTAGAGTATGTTCGCATCTTAAGTATACTAAGTCTGAACTCTGAGAAGGAATTTCTAGCGCCTAATCAAAATCCATATCAAGCAATCAACCGCAAAAGATCCCGGTCAAGTTCACAACACATTCAAAAGATGTTTTATCATTTTTCCAAAAAACACGAATAAAACAGTAATCTTCTTACCAAGCCACCAAAGTGCGACAAGTGTACCCAGTCCGATATAACCGAACAATTTTTGCACATCAACCCTCTCTCCTTCCTCGCCAGAGAACTTTTTAAGCAGTACTGCACCAAACAACAATAAAAAAATAAAAATAAAAAGAAAAACAATTTAATAGTACGTTCATTCATTCACACGTTATTTATTTACAATGCTTCTCACACCTGTAAATAAGCCATACGCCACAGCTGACAGAAGCCCAAAAAGATCCCCAACAAGAGAGCGTTGATCACTTTTTCAACAGAAACAAAAAGTTGAACCATCAGTCAATTCCCTGAAATATACAAGTACAAAATGCAAACCATTTATTTATTTTACTTATTTATTTTTCATTCATATACTTTACCCAACATCTACTCACGAAGAATTGTTGAGTTGTGACTCATCAGCGGCCCAAGTTTTCCCGAGGGTTGTCATGACAACACCGGTGATGCTCACAAATACGGCAACTATCTTTGAGACATTTAACGAATCTTGCCCCAAAAATGCACCAATGAAGAGAGTGAACAACCCTGAGGTTGAGGACAAAACTGTGGTACTCGCAACACTTGTGCGTGCAAGAGCAGCATTCGATAAGTACTGCAAAGAGGGGACAAGGCGCGTGTATAAGTTGGGTGCATCTAAAATTCAAAATATTTTGGGAATTTCATAGTTCCTACTAAGAGAGGGCTGGCAAACACTGGAAAAAAATTAAAAAATTGATTTTCATCTTTTAGCTGGAAATTTAAATATTTTTATTTACTGTACTAAATCCAAGGTCTTACTATTACTCCTGCTTCGTTTGGTCAATATTTAAGGGAAGGCTCCAGATGGCTTCTTATTATGATTCTTTTTTCCTGTCATATTCTTACTAAAATCCAAAAATATATTTTCTCTTCCGAAATACCAATTATCATTAAGGGATTGGAGTCTCGGTCATCCTATCTAAACCTCAGTTTGTAACTGCTTTTCTCCAGTACTTTTAGCTTCTAAGACAATAGATCAGGTTTAAAACCTTAAGTTTCGGAAACACTCTAATATTCCTGCCAAAACAACATTTTAATTTGCTAAACCATTAAAAGGAACTAGTAAGCAGAGAAAAATTCACCAATTTTAATACACACATGTGAAATCAGAAAGCTTGCACAAGCTGAAGATTACCTCAGTGATGAACCAAAGTGGGGCAAGACAAAATCCATAGGTAGCAATTTCTTTAGTCGAGACTTCTTTTTCTGGTCTGATATTTCTAGCATCACCATCTGGTGAAACCAAAGGCTTCTCCTCTTCATGTTTTGAGAGGTCCAAATCGCTATCCTTGCTTTTCAAGGATCCCTGAATCTCAATTTCGAAGATTTTCTGTCCCCCTAAGACATTTAAAGAAGATCCCAGTCCAGGACACAAGCCTTCAGCTTGACCATTTCTCCTGGACCGTCTCTTCAGGATATTGTATATGCAATCCTTAATAAATGCAATTGGGAGGTAAATCACCATTAGAGAAGCTCCCAGATACGTCACTGCAAATGGCTGCTTGTAGTCTGTGAAAATACCCTGTTTTAACATAACCAAATTTTACAAACTTAACGATGTATGCACTAATTTGTGATATCAATCGACAAGAGAGAGAGAGAGATGGCATGAAAGAAACTACTTCACTATTAGCACAATAAACCTTTCATTTACAAAAAGAATCACAACAATAGAAGTTTCACAATAAAGATTTCAACTTTTTGAAGTTTCCAGATATTCTTCTACATAGAGAACACAATTTTCTTTCTTTCTTCCTTTCTTTTTTTGTTTTTTTTATTCTTTTTTTTTTGCATAAAAGAATCACTGCTTAAATTAGCTCAAATTCATGAGAGTAGAAGATTAAGTTTGTATGATTTAACTTTTTCATGGATGTGCAAATAGTAGTTTAAAACCTGAATGTGGGCTTGTTTTCTTAATACACATACCAGCACGCAGTGCAGTACGTCAATTGTTCATAAAGTTGTACGGGCCAATTTAGCACTGGTGATTGGTGCATTCTAAATTCAGAATGGGCAAAGCTTAACATTTGTTTCTATTGAAGACAGACAAATGGTCACAGAGAAGTCCACAAAACCTCATGTCGACAAATTCACTTTTCTGAAAGCAATAGCCAGCACATCTAATATTTACATATTTTTCAACACTCATCGGACAGCAATTTCGGATTCCCGGGTATGAGTTCTTAACCACAACAAAGTTAACTTCCTAACAGATCAAATAAAGATAACAGCGGAGCAGACTGTAACAAACAGCATTCAACGACCACAAATTCAATCACGCTTGCACCAAAAGAGGAGAAAAGAAAAATGATACCGCCCCAGTAACATATCAAATATCAATGTGCGCCCATGTCAATTTCCACAAGTTAACACATAAGCCAGCGGATTCGAAAATCAGCACAGATAATGCCGAGATAAATAACAGACAGAACATTCAACTGACAACTTAATAATAAAAACACTGTTTCCGACAAGAGAGCGAGAGACGAGGAGGAGAAACCAGACCTGCGTAACCTCCGCCGACGTAACCCAAATTATGACAACAGCTGCAATTAAGCACAAACCAGCCTTGTACCTCCACCCCATTAGAGATTCAAGAGAAACTAAGAAAGCCCAGATTCAGAAAAATCTGATCTTGACCAATAAAAAAACAGAAAGAAAGAAAGATCTGAGCTCCCTAAAACCTTGAGATCTTGCTGCGCCAGAAAGTTCAGATTTCGACTACGCAACCGAAGGCCGACTGAATTATCCCGCACCCAATTTGACAAAACGAGAAAAAGTGGAAGATGGGAAAACGACGTTCGCTCGATGCGCGTTGGCAAGTTGTGGGTAATTTGGTTTTCAATTATGTGCTGATTATGATTAGATTAGAGTTCTTGGCATCTTGCAATTGCAAAATTCTCCAAAAATGGAAATTCTTAACGTTGAAATATGTCAAAGAGAAGATCTTTTTCGGTCTATCACGTGTGAATTACACTGCCCGTCAATATTGAGGTCGGTGAAATTTCACCCTATCCATTGGATAAATAAAGTATACATAATAATTAGGTTTAACATCAGATCATTATACGTTTCACTATCCCCATTAATTTTTAACCATTAGATTATTTATTGGGTGTGTGGTTAGTGTTTACGGCATGTGATTGAATCTGCTTGAAGTCGATTTGTTCCTACTTTAATTGTTTTAAATTTTTTGTTCTACATATATGGTGCTACTTAATCACATTTTAATTATTTTGATCCAATATTAGGTTTATAATCCAATTGAGTCAAATCTACTTTAATCATTGTTTGAATTTGTTTGTTTATATAAGAAAAAGAGAATTTTAAGTTTGAGTTGTATTTGATTCTTGTAATTAACAGCACTAGATTGTAGTCAAAGAGTGTTTATCGGCTTTTTTTTTTCTTTCTTTTTTTAATCGATTCCAAACTCAATTTTCATATTCAATCATTGTTCAAATTGATTATGTGAAAATGAGAATTCCAAGTTGTTTGACCCATTTAATTATCAACACTAGAATGTAGTCAAAGAGTTTGAGGGATTTCAAGTTCAATTTTTAATTATATTCAATCATTGTACGCATTTATGGGTTTATATGAAAACTAAGTTATTTGACTCATTTAATTACGGGCACTAATTAAATGATCAATTATTATGGTATACTTGATATGACCGTATTGTATCTTATTTAGTAGTATCATCCGTCATAAAAAAGCTCTCGTAAGAAGAATGGATTTTGATCAAATGATAAATTTATATGCTAAAATTAAATTTTTATTAGTATAAATGTTTTACTGAGATAATATATTAATTATTTTACAAGCTAGTCCTAACATACTCATATTTAATGTTCTGGTTAAAAAAAACAACGTTAGTTAAAAGATGTGAAAAAAAACTGATAATAACCATATTGACTTGACGTTGATTAAAAGAGGTAGAAAATAGATAATAACTCTATTAATTAGACTTAAACGGACAAGGGTGTGAAAATAACTCATTTAATATCTTTGTCCCGACTTATAATAATCATATTGTTTTTTAGACTTAACGTTGATTAAAAGAGGTAGAAAATAAATAATAATCATATTATTCTTTAGACTTAAACGGACAAGGATATAAAAATAACTTATTTAATATTTCTGTCCCGTGCACCGCACGGGGTACGTATTAGTTTCTACTAATATGTGATGCATTTGGATTTCTTGGTTTCTTTTATTTACGGAAAGAAAGGGAGAAAAGGAAAATAAATCAAAAAGTTTACTCCAAATACTTCCCAATTTATCCTCTCTTATATACTAGTGCATAAATATTCTGATCATACGATTTCTATTTTGTAATCTATGTGTCTGAATATATATCAGGCTGTGTTTGACAAGTATAAGCTAATTTATAACTTATTTGATTAACTTATAAAACTCTTGTATTCAAATAATTAAGCTTGTTTTGGTAGGACGAATTTTTTTAAAAATTTTGAGCTTATCTCATAAGCTTCCTTGAGCATCATTGAAATTTTTATGTCATGTAGCTTAATTATCAACTAATTTTACTAAATACTTTATCATATAAGCTAGTAATTCAGTCATAAGTCATAATTTATCAGCTATAAACTCAAAATATTATGATGAGCTTTTTATCAAATTCGAACTTATCTAGTAAGCTTCATTAGGTAGATTTTGAAGAAAGGACGTTTAATTTTAATTTCAACCAACTTATCAACTTATTTTGCAATACAGTTATATTATATCAACTAATTATTTCAGCCATAAACTATCAACTATAAATTCCAAATTCAATCGTAAACTGTCATATAACTTATTTGAGATCCGCTAGCTTTTCAGCTAAATTTAATTACCAAATATAATTAAATTAAACTAATATTAAATTATAAATTATTTCTTAACTTATCAGATCCGTTGGAGCCTGATTTACCAAATATAACCAAACTATGGTTAAATATTCATTTTTGGGTTCACCACCATTGCCCCTAACAACAATATATTGATAAATAAAATAAGATCAATACTATTTATTGTGAAACTCAAGTGACATAGCGTACCAACCGCCAATAATCATATGGCTTAAATTAATCGTTGTTCAAATAGCTTCATGTACAATCCTGAAGAAATAACAGAAGATCACAAAACAAACAATTCAGATAAAATATTGAATCAACTATCAAACTGTAGAAAATGTTTAGATGATAAATCATATATATGCACCCATTTTTCTTTCTTATCTCTCAAAAATTGAATCCTTTAACAAAATGGAGTATGTGCATAAAGCCTGATTTGATTATTTCTTGATGCTACTTTGTAAAGTCCCACCTGAGATGCAAAGTGAACATAAAAATGGCGACCAAAATAAAAATTCCATCTGAGATTTAAAATGTAAGACAAAAAAATGTGAGTTCTTGAGTTCTGTTATTTTTTCCCCTTCCTTGAGCCAAAATAAATAAACAAATTAATAAATTAATTTACCAGCAACCCCAAGAAAACAGATATTTTGATTTTGAGGATAAGGTTGGAACATATTTTTATGGTTTGAGGGGTAAATTTTGCTGCAATTTATTCAACAACAGAATGAAAAATTGGACCTTGATGAACAGCTGCCAAACTGTATTACCGGCCAAGAAGTGACGTAGTGAGTTTACTTGCCACGTGGATGAATGAGTAATGACGACGTTATCTAGCTTGACTCGGAGTCATTTGATATAATATCTTATTTTTCTATTCTTTATTTTGTGATTTTGTTTATTGTCTTATTTTCTTTAAATTTATTTTCCAAAGGTATAAAGCTTCGTAATACTATGTAGGCCTAAAAACCGGTCTACCTCCTATCTATATATATATAATTGCTAGCTAATAGCATTTAATAAAACATTTAATAAAAATATTTTCACTTTCCCTCCAAAAGGAGTTACATTTTTTTAATTAATTACTCATTAATGTCACATTTAAGAAGGTTTCTTATAGTTAAATTTAATTAGTTAATGACTAAATTAAAAAGATTTATTTTAATTAATCCCACATTTATGTTAAGTACAGTATTATCGTAATATCTTATCAGTTTTTTAAAAAAAATTGTAACTTTTTTCAATAAATTTTATAAAAATTAGTAAATGTGCTTATATTCATACAAATCAGAAAAAAAAATCTTAGATATATAAAAAGAACATCGTTGAAATAACTTGAATCCACGAAAAAGAAAAATTAAACATACGTAAAAAAAATTCTGAATGTGATTAAATATAACAAAAGGGCCTTAATCGGCCTCTTAAAATCACGATGCGGGCGGTTCCAGTCCATTGGAAGCTAACCCTAATGGAAAGCTCATGATACGAGTTTTTTTTTTAGAAAAAAAAAACTCAAAAAAATACATATATTTACAGATCTATTACAGATCTTTAAATTTTTTGTTTATATAAAAAATTAATATTATATTTACTCATTTATATTTAGATGGTATTTTTTTTATTAAGAAGTAAGGACAATCCCTATCAATCAATAAGAGTCAAAGACAAACAATATAAAGAAGTGTTTCCTATGCTATGACATGATCAATAAGAGTCAAAGATAGTCTCTGTCGCACGTCGGCTTACTACTGAAGAGCTCAGCATTTAGTCATGAGCAATTATACATGACGCTTTTTAGAGTTACGTGTCACTGGGGTTTGAAGATTTTGATTTGAGCTGAGAGAGATAAAGGGCAAGTGAAGAGTTACTAGAGACGGTGAATGAGGAGACTTGACGATAGAAAAATCACGACGTTGTTTTATAAAGAAGTGTTTAAGAATATTTATAATTTTTTCTTAATTTTTTTCAATAATTTTGTTATGATTTTTACTATTGGTTATAATTTTTATTATTTTTTCATATATTATATAGTTTTCCGTGCAAATGCACGGGACAAAAACTAGTTATATTTATCAAGAATCGGTATCGGAACCAAAACAATATAAACGGTATGTTGACCACATTAAATTTTGTAGGTATCGAATTGTGTTATAATGATCCGGTTAATTCGATTATTAAGGTAACTGAATTACAAAAGACAATCCATAACAACCATATTATGAATATATAGGCGTTCATACGTTAATGTACATATATATTTGGAATATGAGCTTGGAACCGAACTAGGAGTTTGCAAAAAAATAACCGAACTAAAAAGTTATGTCTTGTAAACAAAAATAACTAGTACAACACCCTTGTATTAAACGGGTGTTTGTTAAAAAATTATTCTTAAATTTTAAAATTAACGAAAAATATTATTTTAAATTTTATTTATCTTTTTACAAAAAATATATTATTATATATTTTAGAATGTCATTTGTTACTTGTGCGACTTAAATGTGTTATATTATAATAATTTTTATGACTTATATCATATAACTACTTGAAATATAAATATATTAATTGATAAATAATTTTATTTTTCTAAATAATATTAAAAAAATTATTATTGTTATAAAGATAAATATAATTTATTTATTTTTATAAATACAATATGTATGTTAAATCGAAGCTCGTCAAGAGATGATTAACTTGATATATTATATATGTAAACTATAAAAAATACAAAAGTTATTAACTTTTAAAATATATTTATAAATCAATGGTTATAATAATAAATGATATTAAGATGTAATTAATATATATAACATGACCATAAATAACCAACATATTTATGGATAGTCCGAACCTAATTATTTTTGGATTGAAAATAAATTAAAATCTATCTAAGCCTAATAACGAAACATGTAATTTTGCCACATAGGATTCCGAAGCATGCGAGCCTGCCAATTAGGCTCAGCATGTTTTGAATTAATATATAAGGGGGATAGGAGGGACTAGTACAACACCCGTATATTACACGGGTG